GTGGACTGAGTAGAACAACTTTTGGGAAAGCAAGGCTATTTGAAATTCAATGGAAAACGTCAGCTCAACTCATATCATTATGGGAAAATTCTACTACCAGTCCTTCATCACCTTAGACGAAATAGGGTGAATACATCTCATTACAAGATGAAGTAGCAAAAGAGTGCTTTCGTTAGCATCAAAATTTACCGCGATTATTCCTCAAAACTCTATTTTTGTGCAGGCTGAACTGTAAATTCGAATTAGACTCATCGTCTCATCAGCAATTTGAGCAGAATTAGAGCCAGTTTGCCACGCACAAAAACGAGCCTTGTCTAAAATAGCTTACGGGACAAAATAGACCTCGCATATGTTTGGTGAGTAGCTTACCTCGAAGGGAGGAAATTCTGGTTTCCAAGAGATTAAGTGCTTATGTTTGCTTCGGCTCATCCACAGTTAGAACTCTACCGGATAAATTAATTATAAGATGATGTGTAATCAAAATTGCAGGCAAGTCCAGGTAAAATGGATCCTTTCTACTTCATGGCATAGAGCAGTGGTTCCCAAACTTTTCAAAGTCGCGGCGCCCTTTTTCAATTAAAATCTTTCTATGGAGCCCTACCCTAATTATGACTATTCGTAATTAAGAGATAAAAATAAATAAAACTGGTGTATCTTCATTATCTTTTTTACTTTATTAACATTATACTAACGTTTAATAATTAATGTGATGGATGAGCCTGCTCCCCGGGGCACCGCGGCGCATAGTTTGGAAATCACTGGCATAGAGAATTTCATCAGGCCTTCTCTTCAAGTTGTCTTGTCTAGAATGACCGTCTTGTCTGCCACGATCTCTCGAAACCGGTACATAGTAAGCGTAATTTATGGTGTCCTCACTTGAGGCTATTGTGGCCGCCTGATCGGGGTGTATAATAAAATGTGGTAGTTGTATCTAATTCACTCGCCCTTAGCTCGGACAGCACAAGAGCTGCGCTCCCTGTTGACATGCTGCAGAGCGCAGGTCTGCAGCCAACTTAGTTGGATTTTCGGTGACGAGGGGTAGGCATCACCTGTTGCCATGGCATTATTTTCTTTAATTCCTAACCAGCTGATACTTGGACAGATTCTCCTTACCAGATTATCTTGCCTAGTTTACTAGCGTCCGGTTTTTTTGCGAGCCCAGTTGCTAGTGGATTGGCCAAAAGAGAGGACTTTGTGGTAGTTACTGTGGCCGTTTTCTCTGGGTGTATTAGGGGGGGGATAGCTCAAGCGAATTATGCTAGCAGAGGGCTTGCAATAGGGACAGGCCACCAGACACAGGCAATCAAGATACTTTGCGAGCTCGGCCATCTTCGTCTGGCCGCAATTTTGGCTCCAGCTACCAGAAGGTACGGATCATAGCTGTGAGGTGAGAAAGCGCTTAATTTTTTGAAATGCATTCACCCTATTTTGTTGAAGTGGAAAAAGACAATGATATGAGTGGACCTTACGTTTCCATTGAAGTTCACATAGCTTCACTTCTCAAAAGGTATTTCAATCCAAGATGGAATGCAATTTCGACCTCGCCTAGGTCTCATCAGCACCCCGGCGGGACTCGAACCCCGATTGGGATAATGCATTGCATAATCTCGACACGTTAACCACTACGCCTCACTGCCACGAGTGCCCTTGGATCACACGGTAGGTGTGAACGCCAAAGAGGGCCAGGCATTTTCCCATATCACATTCTGTGGTGGGATTTTCGATGAAGCAAAGTTGTATTTGCCATAGAAATCGACTGCATTACTTATTTGTATCGTTAGTAGGCAGGTTTTCGAGACAACGGGTTGACCATATTTATGAGACGCATTCATTCTATTTTCATTTGTTACGGAAGCCTACTTATACAACAAAACATAAGTAATGTGGTCGATTGCTATTGCAAATACAACTTTGCATCATCAACAATCCCATAACAGAGTGTGATTTTGGAAAATGTCTGACCTTCTTTGGAATTCACATCTGTCCTGTGACACAAGAGCACTCGTAACCGTGTGATGTAGTGATTAACGTGTCTAGATTATACGCTGAACTATCCCTACGGGGATATGAAGACCAAGATGGTGTGACCTCTGGTATGGTCGCAGTCTCCAGTCGATTTATAAAAGTGGATTTTCGGTAGAACGTTGGTGAAGGGATTGACTTCACTTGTCCCATTGACGAGTTCGTAACTTGGTGTGGAGAGTGGCCAAACTCACTGATGATGCCGAATACGATGCCGGCGAAACGTTTTGAGAATGTACCAAGTCCACTGTCAGATGCTGGGAATCATGACAACTATTATGGCGGACGACTTCGGACTAGGTGCGCTCTGCTAAGTCGCCATGACAATAAGACCAAATTGCGACAACGAGATCAGCCCACTTCTATCCCTACGGGGTGCGAGCCCCGCTGATGGTGCTGATGGGATTAGTTCAGTCGAGGTAGTAACGGCATTCCAGTCCTGCTTAGATGAGAATACCTTTTGGGAAAGCAAGGCCATGTGAAATTCAATAGCAACGTAAGATCTACTCGTCTGATTGTGGGAAAATTAATCCACCATTTGCTTTATCCCCCGGAACGAAGTATGGTGAATACATCCCACATTTATGACCTACTGGTAGTCTAGAAAACCTACTTAACAAGGCAAAACTGTTTATTTGGTAAAGACATTGAGGTAAAGATGCATTGTGTGGTTAGTCCTTTCGCAACTCCTCCGATGCTCTTCTTCACTTAAGAGCAATAAAAGAGGCTAAATATGGGGCACCATAGGAAAAAATAACGCAAAGACAGAGCGGTTGATGAGAATACGGAACTCGCCCAAATATTTTGGTTCGACAAGTCCTTTACGCTCTTCCACCGTATCGACAAGTAACCGCTGATGGACCCTTACTTCTAACAATAGAATATTTTTTCATACAAGAGGAGGCCCAGTGTTCAGTCTTATCTCAGGAATCCATTAAAATATAAAGTCAATTGGGTCCTTCAAAAATAGTTTATTGACCACAGAGCCTGAAGAAATCTCTGATCGTCTTCACTCTCGTGAGAGGAGAATATCCTCCCTTGGTTCAATGTAGATTGGATTCGAGTCCGTTGGAACGTTTGGGTCAACGGCCTAAAGAAGTCTCCAACGTGACCTCAGGCTTACTTAGCAGACCGAGCTATGTCCTCTAATTTGGAACTGGAATCGTCCTTAATGCCCCAGCCATTCAATCACAAACGGAAAGTTCGTCTTCATGTCAAATGAGGAGGCTAGGCATATGAGGCGGTGCGTATTGTTGTCTGACCTTTTGTTCCGCCTCGGAAAAGCAACAAATGACGAATGATCGTTTCACGAAGCATGCACACGAATAGGAGCGGGAACACTTGAAGCCAACACTTGAAGTCAACGCTCGCCTACCCACAACCGCCTCCTTTAAAACCCACCGTCACATTCGCGATCGTTGGTGAGGTGAGATTTAGCAACCCCCAAGCGAGTTGCTCGGACGCTACGCGGAGTGGGTAAATCTTGAAATATTGCTGTATTATTATTATTATTCTAATTATGTATTATTTTCGTGACTACCAGTAACTCAGTAATATGAGATGTATTCACCCAATTTCGTTTAAGCTGATGAAGGACTGGTAGAAGAAGAATTTTCCCACAATGATAAGATTTGAGATAACGTTTCCATTGAATTTCATAGCCTTGCTATCCCAAAAGCTAGGTGAAATTGAATGGAAGCGTCAGCTCAACTCATATCATTGTGGGAAAATTCTTCTTCTACCAGTCCTTCA